CAAGGGGAATTTAGCAACATCTGAAAGCTCATACGGCGTTTCTTCCTTAGCACGTCAGTGTAACGCTCCTATTTTTGCGGTATAGACCTCGAATAACTTAAGCGAACTTAGTTCTCTGTGACTGAAAAACTTCGGTAAACTGGAACGAACACCTCGGTGTTCCGTGCAAACCGAAATTCCGTCCTTGAAACTGAAGTTTTTCTTTTCCTTTCCGCGAATCTCTTAGCTTCAACCCCGTATTGAGAAATTTGTATCCTGAAAGCCTAATTGGGCACGCAGGGAAGTTACCTGACTTGTACTTGTATCGTGTTTTTCTTAGAATGACCTTGTAGCGCGGGGAAAAAAAAACTTTAATGATCTCGCTTTCGGGCATAAAATATTTTATTAAAATGATTAACATGCGCTGATCGTGACAGTGATGAGTATCGCAGTGGGCACGGTGCTGTACCTGCGTGTAATGTGCAGAGAAAGCGATGCTGCTCATTGTGGGGAAAATATTAAAAGCAGACGTCAAAAACCAGGACCAGTTCCGAGTGAAATAAAGTTGGTAAAACTTGATGCAGATATGTGAAGGATGCAGCCGCCAGAACAAGGCCCGGTTACCCGACTTCTGTAGTAGTTTTGACTAATGAAAGCTTACGCACTTACGAGTAAAAACAAGTCATAAACGGTCCTAACTCGTCAAAATCTAGGTTAAGATCAAGATTGCCGAATGTGAGATGATCTTTTGGTTTTGGGCTGGGTATTTGACGGTTTGAAATAATTCGTCCTTTTCCCCACGAAAGAACATAACAAAGTTTGAGAAATATCATTGGATAGATTAAGTGTAAGGCTAGATTTGCCGACCAAATAATCGGACAATCGTCGTCTCCCGGACGAGGGAACGTAACTTCATTCCATGGTTGCCAAATTGACCAAATAAATTGACTGATTTCACAAAAATGTACCGATGAAATTTTGATCAAAAATTTTTTTGATATTTGCCTGGAATCTGAGGAAAAATCAGTGAAATTTTTAGTTAGGAATGCCCAAGATTCTCTCAATAAATATTCAATTTGCGAAGAGGAATTTGGCAACATTGAAATGGAGTTATATTTTTTCGTGAGGAAAACGACGAAATATCATTGTAATATGTATTTACTGGGTATAGCTTTACGAAGGATGCTTTCTTGACTTCAACGCCCATACTCATACCTACTCTACTTTATGACAACTTTGCCTTCTCTAAATTTTCAGTCAGAAAATACCCCTAAATATTTGCGGGTTTTTACTTAAAATAAAATGATACACAGTCGCTATACTGCCGTGTTCGGGAGAAACTCCGCGTGAACCTGCAGACGTTGCCAAATTTCCTTTGTTGCAGCACAAATTTATGGGAAAATTTGTAAATCTTCTCCTTCTGAGTTTTCAGAAAATTTTATTTGTAAGGATTTTCAGTGTCAGAAAATTGCAAGGAAAAATATTCATGACTTCTTAGAACATGCAGATTCACAGAGAGGAAATCTGGCAAAATTTGAAGACGTATACATCATTCTTCCTTAGAGCGGCAGTATAGATAAGATCGGCAACAACGAATGTTTAAGCGATGTTGTATCACGGTATTTTACGTATTCAGCTTGAAACGGCCTAGAAAGCGGCAAGTGCATCCCCAATGCATCCTGTCAAGAGACCGACGGATCTGTGGCGATCATTGACAAAATACTCAATACCGTTCACCCCTCGGTGCATTTTTAGAAAACCCTCGCGAAAAACGAGAACACTTTGTCCCTCTGCCGTGCTAAGGAAGAACGCCATATGAACATTCGAGAGTTGCCAAATTGCCCCGGATAAAACGTGTATTTTTGAGGAAAGCTATAAATATTTTTCCTTGAAATTTTCAGGGACTTTAGGTGAAATCGTGAACAAAATTATCTGAAAAATTGGGAGGAAAATATTCATATGTTTACCAGGAAATTCGTCTTTAATCAAAGGAAACTTGGCAACGCCTGCAGGTCCACACGGCGTTTTTCCTTAGCACGGCAGCCCTGGAGTCATCTCTCTTCGGGGACGAACAATGTGTGTCCTCTCTGGAAAAAATCCACGCTTCCTTTTCGACCCCGAGGAACTGGAGTGAAGAAAGGATGCGTCACTTGATGCACGCCGGGCTATTAGCGTAACACATGGCGTGTCTTTTCAGGATTCTGGATTGTTTAACAGGTCTCAAGGTCGCGGCTCTTGTTCCTCGACCCGAGCGGGGGATGTTCGATTTCGGTATTGTACATCCGCCAGCATTATGCCAGGACCCGGGACCTTGCCTCGGGCCCCGATCTGGAATCGTTTAGAGGGGTCAGGCTCTGGTTTCTCTCGACCGCGCTGGGAAAAACAACGTGGAACGTAAAAGTCCACCCCGGATTTTTAGAGTCATTTTCAGACAGGAGGGTAGGGAATCCATCGACGAGGATCGATCCCTCACTTGAAAAAAAGACACATTGGATCTGCGGTCCAGACTCTTGAAAACATCGACGAGAAAAAGTACTCTTGATTCAATCAGATTTAAGCTTAAATCAAGAACCAAGCCTCTTGATTTGAGCGAATTTCCTTTTGATTTAAGCTTAAATCTGATTGAATCAAGAGTCCTTTTTCTTGTCAATGTTTTCAAGAGTCTGGAATCTAGATCCAATGTGCTTTTCCCCAGTGCTCATCAAAATTATCTTCACGAAAAATGGAGAATTTGCATGCAAATTTTTATTGCTTCATCTGAAAGTGCTTAGAGAGCTGATTTCACAATATTTTTTATAATTTTTTCTCTGACGTGAGAAATAGTGTAAAAATAGATTTAAAAGTGAAAAAATGCACCGCCTAGTGACGTCATCTGGCGGTATTTTCCATTTAAACACACGTATTTTAGCAGATTAGATCATTTTGTCATATCTTCTCCCATAGTTGTTCAATTCACGGACCAAGGGTATCCTCGGGTTCAGTTCACTCAGTAGTTTCCACTGAAACACACACCTGCAGATTCTCTAGCTAAGCTTCTTGAAATTGAAAAAAAAATGTCATGTTAGACTGGGTCAAGACTGAAAGAAAAATGTCCGCAGCAAAATTCCTTGACTTTTTCGAGTTGATCAGAATTCCTTGACTTTCCTCAGTTTTCCATAGCATTATCAAAACTTGCTACTTGAGCAAAACGTAAAACCTTCAGATGTTGCCAAATTTCTCTCGATAAAATACGAATTTTCAGGGGAGTCTCTGGATACTTTTAATCCAATTTTTCAGAGAATTTTATTTGCAATCAGATCTCAATTTTCTAAAAATTTCGAGGGAAAATATTCATAACTCTCCTTAAAAATTGACATTTTATTCGAGGCAATGAGACAACTCTCCGATGTTCATACAGCGTTTTTCCTTAGCAGGGCAGTACAAGCCTTCGGAAAATAGAAGGGGACCTATCTATTTCAAGGATGAATTTGGCTTGATTTCGGTCGTATTCCAACTACACCTACTCGAGTCCAGCAACTCCATTCGATTGATACGAGTGCAATAACTTTGATAGCTTTTCATTACTGCACCCAACGACGTCAACACATCGATACCAGCCGGTCGATTTTTGAATCGTTATCGAATGACTTGATCGATAAATATCATTTATAAGATAGGGATTTATCGATTCAAGTTCATTCGATAATCGACCCGCAGATGACCCCCGGCGTCGAACAAACGAGGCAGGGATGTCTAACGATGCGGGCAGATAAGCCAACAGCGCCAAGAACAACACAATTAGAACCTGGGCAAACAGCTATTCCCGTCTGCAGATGACGGTTGGGGATGAGTCACTGACAAATCGTCCCTCCTCCGCCGACGTAAGGACGTATCTTAAATTCAACGTGAGCCCTGTTCTCCGTATCTCTCCATGCTTTCCAGATCTCATGGGAAAATAAAGATGCGTCCTTACGTTGGAGGTGCACCGAAGTGCGCTGGGATGCTGGATGGGGTTTCTGCACTGGGCACTAGCAGCCCCCCCCCCCCCTTCCCTTATTCAAAGACTGACCTTTCCTTCGAGTTCGAGTGGAATCACCCCGCCGAAATGAGGCGGCCGGAGTTCATACACAAAACGTGGCCAACGGTTTCTGCATGGCTCGAATTGTTTCAGCGTCGAGATTACAATGTCAAGACGCGCTGATTCGATGCTATTTTCGTCCGGCGCAGAAGCAACGATGAATCTCGAACTTCCCGTTGGAGACGAAGTGCGTCCATTTCGCGGGTTCTTGGGAGGAATTGACTTTTGGAGAATGGGGCAATAGGTACAATTAAAAGAAAAAAAGAAGAAAAAAAAAAAAAAAAAAAAAAAAAAAAAAAAAAAAAATTGAGTTCTAGCGCAATGAAGACTTACTTAACGTACTCTACCGTGCTACATAGAAGCGCCTTATACATTCGAATTTTATCAAATTTATTCTTGGAAAATATTTATTTTTGAAGGAGGTTAAGTACCTAAAAATATTCTTCCTTGAAAGTTTCAGACTTTATAGATTAAATTAAGAATGAAATCCCGTGAGAATCAAAGTAAAAATATTCGCAAATTTTCCTGAAAATTCGTGATTTGTTGAAGGCAATCTGGCAATGCCTGATGGCTCATGCGGCGTTCCAACTTAGCACTGTAGACTTAGCATACAACTGTGCTGAGGAAAACGCCGTAACAAGAAGCAGTTATGGGAAAGTTCTGAATATTTTTCCTTGAGTTTTCCAGTTATTTCAGATGAAATTGCCCAAATCCCCTAAAAAATCGAAGGGAAAATATTTCCAAGTACCCATAGAAATTTGTATTTTATCAGACGAAATTCGACGACAAAAAATTAAATTCACCAAGAAAACGAAATTCAAAACTGAAAAGCTTTTGTGAAATATCCTTGACTTGTTACTTAGTTACATTCTCTATCAGATCATCCAGAAGTGGATTCTAATGATAGAATGGTCTAGTATGCTGGCTTCACTTTTCAACAGTATGAAAATCAATATTTAATTACCTTTTTAAGACGGCAAACTTCGTCCTCCAACGATTCTTCACGGCTGTTCATCAATATGTCACCATTCCTCGAATCCAATAATTTAGCAGTATCCTAGAAAGAAATATTCAGAATAGCATTACACCTTTTGTAGATGATTCAGCACTAATATGAGACCTCTACTTGTTAAAATTGGTGGGTACAAGCAGAGATTAGCTGAATTGAGAATTCTGGAGAGGAAGGGTTGTGAGATGAAAATGCTGTAAAAGTCGAGCAAAGAAAAATCATGCTTCGTAAAATTAGACCTAATTTCCCTGACTTAAAATCATAAAGTCACGAAAGCACCCCAAAATACCAAAATTGTGCGGAAAATTTGTACCCCGAAAATATCTATTAAATTATTGAGAGAAGGTTTGCAAATGAAGTCTGGGTAAGAATTGTAAGATCATTTTTTTTACAACTGATGTAAAATCGAATTTATAGCCCATTGCTTCTGTGTGACTTCATGAAAAAGAATTCAGTCTTTTGCATTTTGTTCTCTTGTCTTAAGAAAACTTGCCATCCTTTTACTTCACTGTAGTTGAACTGTTATTAGGTACCTGACTCTTTAAAAGTGACCATTTGACAAAGATTTACTTAATTACAAATACTTGACTGCTCTGAGCAGTTCACCAGAGCAAAAGCGAAATGTTGACTGATAATTAAACATTTTTTCATAGGGAGGGGGAGCCTACAGTCAAGCATTTCTGATAGGAGGGGGAGGGGCACTAAGAAAAATTCTTACAAAAAGCAAATAGGTGATAAGTGTTTTGGTGAAGAAAATTTTACCATCTAGAAACCCAAATTCGTTGGGTAAAATTTTTCAGGGGGTCTAGACTCCCATCTAGCCACAACATTATAGGTCAACCTGAAGCAATATTCAAGTTTAAGTACCAGGAGTCTCAAGGCCTAAAGTCAAAATGGACTGCATTTTGATATTTGGAACTATAAATCCTGGCTCTTCAGGAAAGACACTAATGTGCATAGGGAAACTAATGGCACATACGTAGTGTTTGAACCGGGCTAGAATTAATAGTTCCAGATTGCAAAGTGTAGTCCAAATGAATAATAATCCCTGCAGACAGTCAATGAGCCATTTATAAACTTTCGTCTGCATCGATTAAGGCCCTGTTCACTCCTTTTGATAAATGAGGAAGAACGAATGAGGAATTAATGTACAACTTTTCATTTGATCCCAAATGATTTAAAATTCCAAATGACCTACTCCAAAAAAAAGTTTTACGCCAAAACGATCAATCCATAAAGATGTTCTGGGGTATTGCATCACTTGATGTGCTCTAATTTACATATTACAAGACTGTTAGTTGAGGGTACTGGACCCCTATTGACCCGCAAATGAAATTATATGAAATAATCTTCAAGACATTAAGGATTTGATGGGACTCTTGGACTTCCGTTAGGAAGTTGAGTGGTCTTCTGCGTTTTCTCTTGAGAAAACTGACAACGTAACCACTTTTAACACATGGATTAAAAATCTCAAAAATGACGCAGCAGTACAGAACTTAAAACCTTGGCGTTTATCTCTGATGTATTTGACTCTACATTGGGATCATCACTTGGATTGGAAACCCAAAGCATGTCATTCAAATGAGAAAATAAAAAAAGAAAGTGATGACAGATAGGGGCAAACTGACCCAAGTGGGTTAGGTGGTGATCGCAAAGGGCCTACATTGAAAGTTTCCTCCTCCTCTTTATCAGGATCCTCTTCCCGGCAGGGCCCGCTCTCCGGGTGATATTAAATCAGTTTGCCCTGGATGTTAAAAGAATGGAAATGATGAGGAAATGCATGTACCTTTCTCAGTTTGTTAAACTTGGTGATTTCACTGTTGCGCGGATAGAACTTGGAGCAATCACGATTGGAGGTATCCATGAATGCACTTCGCGGACTGGGTTTAGGCGACGATAACGAACTTTTGCGGAACCAAGATTTCGTCTCGCTCTCCTCACGGATGGGAGAATCGCGAAAGGAATAATCCAGGGATTTGCTCTGATGCGAGGCGTCCATCGCCAAGTCGCGAGCGTATTCACTCCTGAAAAGGTGACAGTCTGTGATCTCAGAGTCGTACTTGAAGCAAGGAGCCGATAGGTTTTCCATTTTCACATGAGTACAACGCAATTCGGATTCACGGATTCAAAACAATGCACATGCTGATAAATGCTAGTATCAACGCACGACGCTACAACAAACCGAAAATTATGAACACACAATCCTGTGAAGGTTATCGGAGGAACACTAAGAAATTCACGAGACGTTTAGTTTGGACTTCAGTGAGGTCCAAATCATTGGGCCACCGAAAAAGACAACGGAAAATTCCCACGTTGGAACAGAGCGGTTCAGTTTTACACAACACTAAGATCCACGGGAGGAATCTACCCCAGACTGTAGTACTACACTATTCTGTGAATGAAAACCACGCACCACGCGAATTCAGGATAGACGATTGTGGCCTACCGTTAGGAAAATCGCGAACTCGCTGCACTGATAAACCATGTGGTCGGACAGTTTGTTTACATCACATGTTCAGACGACCCGGCGGAAAAAACGCGACTGATGAAGAAGCGGAGAACGGAGAACAACGCGGCGCGCGCAGATGCTGATAATGCAAAATGTAAACAAAAGTCTACTGCCGCTCCCTAGCGACGGTCAGCTGAAGTAGAGGCGCGCGGCGTTTTAGAACGAGAACGCTAGAGAACGCTGTGAATGAATGATGTATAACTGGCGGGATTTTCGATTTAGCGGGGATGTTCGACGTGAGCGCAAACGTACCTTTGTGACTACGAAAAGATACTTTCATTACTTTCATTAGTTGCACCACGTATAGCAGAAAGGAACCAAGCAAAATCATCTACGGTCAAATGTAACTGGGCAATTTTATTTTTAACAAGGGAACGTTCGTGAGGATTACCCCGAAAATTTTAAGGAATTCGCTTCGTACTACAGAGAAAATTCACTGAAATTTGCACGATAGTTTTCACGTAAAATATTTAAGTGCCCAATTGAATTTGGCAATAGCTGACGTGGCTTGGTTCCTCTCTACTTAACGCAGTCGAGTTCACAATTCCGTGCATTGCTATTAAAAAATGTCGACGAATTTAATCAAAATGCATAGTTCGTCTTCATTAGGTGATTCCTTCATTGCTCTCACGACAGGACTCGCTGGATTTATTTGAGTGCAAACGATGTATCCTAATCTGGAACTATCATTGCCACTGTAACATCTTTCGAAGTAATTTCTGATGTATGCCCAATACGTACGAGAATCATTTCATCCGTTTATGTGCACATAACTGGCAATTTCTTAGGATAGGGAAGAAAAAATTATAAAGTGTGTTGAAAATGTCATTGAAATTGTCATAGAAGCGTGTATTAATGGTTGATATTTTTAAATTAGAGTTAAGTGACAAGATTCATACAAAAGCCACTGTTTTTAATCCTAACATTCAGTGGCGTGGCGTGCTCTGCGATTGATCTGCCATTTTAACTTATGGAAAAGGATCGATAAACAAGGCGTTTGCAACGAACACCTTATAAATCGATTCTTTACCAAAGCCTCAAATGGGGAAATATCGATAATCGATCATTCACGCCTCGCCACTGCTAATATTTACAGAGTTATCGTCGTTGACTCGGGTTCATATAATCCAGCGTAGTATAATGATTGTTTTGTTCAAACTCGGTGCAATTTTTCAGGAGCTCATTGAAAATTTAACCCTTGAATGTCAAAATGCTGTTTCCCGAAAGAAAAAATGGCTCATCAAAATAGGTACAGGAAACTCTACACATCATGCTCAGATACCGATAATATTTTTTTTCGAAATCTGGAACGTTGTAATACATTTAAGTAATGAATTTCTCGGAAAATTGACAATCTTGTGTTTAAAATCAGTTATGGCTTATCTCATCGGCACAACAGGCAACGCTTAGACAATCAAATCTTCAGTTAGTGTTGTTCGTGACGGATACGAAACGAATTTCATGATAACGCCTGGATGCAACTATTCGGGCTCCGTGGATGTCCGTGTTGCATACGCACGGATTTGAAGGCGTTTTGTCTTCAGACGATGACCGCTTCGCCAGCGGCGCTCAGTCGAGTGAGTCCACGAGAAGAGTTGGACGAAATTTGGAAACATGAAAACCTTATATCGATTTTTTTTTCCGGGACGTAGGAGCTTTACAAGCGTTTTCATTAAGTTTCCCGTAATATTTCTTTCGAGAGGCATTAAACCCATTACAAATTTATACTGTGAAGAAATTAACATCAACATTCGCAGTTTTTCTCGAGGATTTCGGTCGAAAACATATATAGATAGTGCTGGGATTGATTTTAAAATTCTGTGATTTTTTTTTAGATATCTACCATTAAAACCCGTATGATTTCTCAACTGCGGTAAAGGTCCCATTCTTTCGTGCTAAGGAAGAACGCCATATGAACATCCAAGAGTTGTCAAATTTCCTTCAGTAAAATTTTTATTTTTTAGGTAAGATATGAATATTTTTCCTTGAAATTTTCAGGGACTTTAGGTGAAATTGCGAACAAAATTATCTGAAAAATTGGAAGGAAAACATTCATAAGTTTACCAGGAAATTTGCGTTTTATCAAAGGAAATTTGGCAACGCCCGAAGGCTCATACGGCGTTCTTCCTTAGCACGGCAGCATTGTCCTACGCGATTACCATTCCGGAGTCTTAAAAGGCAAATTGAAGGGCTTGGCGGAGAAGGCGCATAAGCAGTTTTTGAAAAAAATGAGATATTATATTGATTTCGAGTAAAACTAGTCTGAATGCATCTTCTGTGAAAAACTTGCTCCCAAATTCCAATCTTTAAGCATCAAAAAGTTAGATTGAACTTTCTTTCCGCCAAAAGGATCCATGTGATTCCAGAACTTTAAGCACGCGCGTAAATCTCGAAATAGCAAGAACTGCGCTTATGTGCTTTGTCCTGGCCAAGCCTCTCAATTATTATCGAGCTGTAATATTTTCGGATTCCTTCGAACCGACTCATAGGCTGTCCCAAAACAACTGGCACTAAGGCTGTCATTCGGGAGCTACAATAGATATCGACATGCGGTTTGCGGGAGGTGATAGCTCATACTCTTAGCTCTTCTAAGCCACTGACATTTCATTCACAGTTTCAGAAGCAGATAATTCACGCGACGAACGCAATATCGAATTGCGTATCGTTGCTCTTGCTTCAACTCCGCGGGTGAACTCATGACGAAACACAAAAAAACGCGTTATCAGGCCGGACAATTTCACTAAACTGACTTTGGAAACAGAAAAAAACTTCTCGGCTGTGATGGAAACACTTGCTGACAAGTGGAAACTTGCATCCAGAGAAGTGGAAACTTGATTCATAACGTCTGAACCAATTTCACACCTTGCGGAGGCAAAGTTAAGGAATGAAAAATTACCGAAAAATTCCGTAGGGGTATTTCTTACACGTCTCGGGAAAATTGATGTAACTCGTTGAGTTTTTAACCAAACTAGCTCAACTTAGGCTTGTTTAAGAGCTAAGAGTATGAGCTATCACCTCCCGCAAACCGCATGTCGATATCTATTGTAGTTCCCGAATGACAGCCTTAGTGCCAGTTGTTTTGGGACAGCCTATGTATTTTAAAAGTCTGATAAAATCTGAATTCTCCTCTATTAATTTCCTAACTTTCTTTCAAAAAGTATCGGTGACATGATTGTCTCGAGAATCGAGAGCGTTCTCACATATCACTCATTTGTCTATCAAATGAGCGGGTTGTTTTTAAAAGGGAAAATGGAGCCAGGAATTGTCTGGCTGAGCCCTGGGATACGTAAGAATACCAGCTTTGTGGAGCTCATCTGAAAAATTGACTTCTTCTTTTTTTAAAAACAAATCGTTCATATCTCATCTCTATATCCTGGTGCTATATCTCTCTAGATCTGCTGACAGCATTTTCAGTTAATTGAATGTTCACTGTTCCAAAACTTAAATTTAGTCGCTCGTCAGTTCCGTAAGACTCAGGTTCATCTATTTGTTTTAGCTCTACCATTTCAGTTGTTTCCATTCATTGTCCGTTCTAATCGCCATGAAATAAACATTATAATTTCAAAAAATATTCATGGCTGACGCCAAAATCAATTAGGGACGTAGTTTAAATAGCACTCGTCCTAGCATAGAGTCCTGAGTCACGCTGTACAATCCTTCCTTATAATTTAATAATTAAATCTACGTATAATAAGCTTGATCTCTCAATAATTTAAAGTTTCAACATGATATTTTTCAATTTTGCAAGTACACAGTCCCCAATTTTGCCTGTCTATAATATCCCAGTTATAATCACAAACGGATCCTGTATGAGTCTGAACTTTTCTACGATGATGATAAAACAGTAACACTCTGATAAAATGTCTGTCTTTCCATCTCTCAAGAATGTGATCCATTCTAGGAAACCTCTGATCATTAACGTCATCCAGTTTGCTGAATCTTCAAATGTCAAGACCGGACTTCCGTCTTCGGCAACTGCAACACAACTATGTTCCGTGATTTCATTTAATATTTCTTTTTTAGTCTTTGTCACTGCACCTGAGGGTGCATTTCCGATTTTTGATTCGATATAGCTTTGTCTTAATAGATTAAAACTTTGATCTTAGTCTTAGATTTCCTCTGTTATTTGTTCGACACCACGCTCTTTACGTTCTTTCTTTTCTTCTTCTTCGCAAAAAGACGTTATCTTTTAATTGCTTCAAATTTATTTATGGATATTCGTGAAATTATTTTAGATATCCTTATTTTCTTTGTTTTCTTTAACAAAGGAGGGTAGGGCTCTTAAACTCCCCTCCCCCTCAAAAGAAAATTCTGTTTTGATACAATTTCATGCCGCAGAAGGCTATAGCAAAAAAAAAAAAAAAAAAAAAAAAAAAAATTCGCTTTAGTGTACCACTATGAAAAAGAGGTTAATATTCTCTCTTTGTTTTCAAACCTTCCGAATTCAAATTTAAGTAAGGGTCACTATAAAAAGGACGACGAAAAATTCAATACATGAATTGAGTAATTTTCATGCAACAATGGATGAAATTTTCTTTTACAATCTCATGACATCTGTTTTGAAGCAGCTGTCAATGCTTAACTTATATGCGTGTAAGGGACACAGATTGAACGGGATAAATAACCTGAATGTTTAGAATGAATCTACAAAAAAAAGCCATGACTTGAGTTTTTGAATGGTCTACGTTGGATTTCTCAGCCTTCTCTCCGCTCGCAGCGGAGGAGAACCATCTAAGAATCTCGAAAAAATTCTATTTCTAGTAGGGTATTTTTGTATCTTTGCGAAGATAGGATAGGTACGCGTTCGTTGCTCACATAAGATGAGAATATTATAAAAGTGAAATTTTATTGATATAAGTTAGGCGTGGCATCAGTTTGGAAAGTTGATTTTCAGAATCCAAAAACCAACTCCGAACGGTGAACAAGGTTAGTGATGTTGGGGCCATTCACTTGGTCAATATATTCGTTCAACAGTTTTTTCAAGGCTGCCTCGGTGTAAGGAAGAACTTCCTTCGCGTAAAATTTTTCGATCAGCGGGTTCAAAAGCCAATCAATCAACCAAGATATATGTACTTTAATGTCCGTAGGCCTGAAACATAAATGAGTACAAAATTAACAATCGTGACACTTTTATCGCCTGGTAAAACAGACCAACCTGTACGAATTTACCTGGAACATTTAATATTTACTCAATGCGGTTATTTGAATAAACAATAGAAAGCTCAAAAAGCAAACTTCAGCAGGTGAACACGTGGACGTTTGCCTTTAACAGATAGAAGACAGATTACGTATCCTTGATTAGTCCAAAACTTGTTTCATCACATTTAAGAGTAAGTTTTTTTTTTACTTTTAACGATGCAATTTACCAACAACGTGAGTATTAAATTTTTAAGGAATGTGACAATAAACGTGCTGCTTTAATTTGGTACTTTGCGCCTGGACGTAGTGAAATACAGCGTACTGAGATTAATTTTGGAGATGCAATGTAATTTTCAACCTTATTGTATTCAACTGCCACACTTGTATTTGTGAATTAAACTTTAATTTACAAAATTATGTTAGTCTTTCCCCATTATTTGATTTTCGCATTTCATGAACATTTAGATGTTGCAAAATTCCTTCTAACAGAACGCAAATACTTAGGAGAAAATGTTGGAAATTTGTCTTCGAATTTCTCAAAAAATTTCCTCTACAATTTAGGTACTCTACCTAAAAATGTCAATGAAAATCATTCCTTTCCCTCAAAATATATGTTTCATCGAAGGAAATTGGTAATATTTGCTTATTTATTCAGCAGAGTTTTTCAGCGCGGCGAAATACGCATACGCGATGACGTTCACTCGAAAGTTTTCAACGCGCGCATCTCTTAAAATCGGATAGCGGAATATGTATCCAATCCGCACTTCAACGCTCGCAGAGATGTAGCTATTGTACATCAGAGATACGTGGTTTCTGAGGTGGCTCCTGAACCTGGACGCGAAGAAAACTATTGTTGTTTCCTGCCACTTGTTACGTTTGTTCGTATGATTAGATTCGGTGGCAGAGTCTCGAGTGCTTTTCTAAGAACTGACTAATTAAGCTGAAGTGAGTAGGTCTCTTACGCGGTTGAAGTCAATCGGAACTCGGTCAAGTCAGCTTGTGCCAAGTCAAGATCTGCAAACAGTCGGAATGTGACGTATACATCCTTCAAATTCACGTCCAATTTTCCGGTCGGGCCAATATTGTATACCAGCCACGTAAAGTCGAAGTGACTCTGCGAGAAAAATTACAAGCAAATTAAGAAATAGAACAGGTTAATGGGTTCAGACATTGTAATTTTGTTGGAGAGTGAGTTAAAGCAAGAAAATTTAAAAAAAAAAAAAAAAAAAAAAAAAAAACTCAAGTGATGCATCGGAAAAACTTGTATTAGCTGAAAACCCTTTCAACCTATTCTCCATCATCAAAGCGTCAGTAACCAACAACAGTTAATCGCATAAAAATGAAGACATTGATATCACTTTTTTTCTCTTTTTTTCTCTTTTTTTTCTCTTTTTTTTGGTTTATTTGCCATCCAACAATGTTTTAACAGAATTAAAAATTATATCAAAAGATAAAAAATAAAGATACACAAAAGGTTAATTAATCATTATTGGGTGGTTGCCGGAAACGCCATCAGGCATAGCATCAGCAGATTGATATTACTAAAGGCAGTTTCCTCTACCTTATATTCATCAATGAGTATATTATTTATTTGCACTTATGCAATTTCATTTAGCTGCGCACTCTGCGGTTTCTTACCGCATAGTTGAAACCTGACACTCACAAGAATTAAAATGTTTTATGCGTGCTTAATTGACTTATGAAATAGTTAAGAATCTTACTCTGAGCTGCTCAAAATAGAATTTCACTTCGACGTCGAAATTAGCTTTCCGATAGTCGATAAATGCATCGCCGATCCTCTTGATGGTTTGAGCATCGTGCGTGTGGCCTTTTTTGAGCACAACCTCCTGTGAGTATAGTTCTATGCCAAAAATTGTCTGTGAATAATAAAAAAGCTATTTAAAGAATTTTTCGCGCTGATTGGTAGCATTTTCATAAATTAATTTTGGATCAAGAAGAAATTTTCTTTGTTTTTCTTTTATTCAACCTATCTTTTCTTCCATGCAAGCTGCAGAAAGAACAGAACCTAAAGAAATAGGCTCTAATGCTTGAAGTGATGCGGGATGCGGGGAAAAACTATTGATCATTTCGTTGTTCTGGTGAGCAGGCTGCGTCACTCAATTTTGAAGGCGATTTTTAAGGTCACGCGACTCGCGAAGTCGTGCGCATCGTAATTCGTAAGGTCTAATTGGCCTGGTATTTGCTCTTGATCTTGTTGGTTACAATCATCCATGCCTTCAAAAATACTTTTACTTACGTATTGCAATATGCTAATAATCACACATCCAAATTCTGCAATGGGTGAACATAGGCTGTAAATGCTTATTATTATTTCCGCGGAAAGAAAATAACCCCCATTAATGTCACTCTTGGAATATTTAGAGAACACTCAAAATGAGACAATTCCTCCAGGGCTAAGAAGAATGCCACAAGATTTCAAGAAATGACAATAATAATTTTGCTCTCATGAAAATATAGACTGACAAAAAAGTTGAACATCGTGGTACAGTTCGAAGCACAAGAAAGAGCAGTCTCTGGCTTCTTCATCGAAGTAAAAAAATAAAATTGTAAAAGGCAATTTATGATCTCCATGTGACGTACAAAGTTGTTAATCATCCTGTACTCCGGTAAAGGCACAGTAGCAAAACGATCACTACTTTTGATATCTGCTATCATTCCATCGATATAATCATTAGCATCCACTGATTCCTCTCTGTAACACGAAAGAAGAGAAAATGAGACTAATAAAAAAATGAAAATTACACAAATGAGATTCAGTAAAATACGTTGAAGTAAATAACATGAATATCAGGGAAAATTAATATACAGCGGAAAATACTTTTCGATAAATGAATGCACTGTGCTAGTGGCGAAGCGTGAATGATCGATTATCGATATTTTCCTATTTGAGGCAATGGTAAAAGATCGATTATTAAGGTGTTCTTGTCTATCGATCCTTTTACGTGGGTTTAAATGGCAGATCAATCGATACATCGCAAAGTACGCCACACCACTGATATTTACTTGGAGCCGACCCACTAGCGACCCCTCCTTTATTTGTTATAACCCTCTTTTAATTGATTATTTCAACTAAATGAGTTTGGTTTGGGCTCCCGTAACGCACAGGGAAACATTTTACAATATATCTCCAAAATTAAGGTACTTGTTTTTCAAAGTTCAGCCTAGATATTATGTTAACTACAACAAATGACTTATTGCCGTGCCATGGCAAAGTCATTTAAGCAGCTTCTTACTAGAAGCAAAAAATAAAAAATAAAATTCCATCTGATCAATGTCTGTCCAGTTTATGTGTTACAGTCAGTAAGTTATGAGACATGTGCGCGTTTCACTTTTGGAAACATGTTTTTTTTTTTTCAGGGATAAACGTCTCAAGGAATCTTTTTTATCAGCTCGTCGCTCCATTCAATGATCATGCTTACGAATGCTCTTTTCAAAAGTGGGCTCTCACTGCATTGTCACTCAAGAACAACAAGAATGATTTCATCATCGATGTTTCTCACCTATCTCGGAAGTGTCGGAACAGTAGCTCGAATGACTCAGTTGCCATGTCATAGATTTGAATTAAATTATTCAGCCAAATTCTACTGAAGGGAATTCAAATCGGTCCAATTTTGAGTGAAATTGTGGTAACAGGGGAATTTTAATTCAGGTAACTGAGAAATTGGGGTTTCGAACAGGACTATGGCTCCATTAACGCAAAGTACTCGGAATAAACGACCAGTGGTTTCCGAAAGACTGAATTGAGTATTGCCTTTAAATATATTTAGCAGTTAAACCTGCGCCTATGTGTGCTCTACGTATTAGTAACCATGAGAAAAATTCAGGAGGAATGTCAATTTTCAGGAACTCTCTCTGTCTACGTACCCAGTTTCCTCTTCCACGCATGACCAGGGAAATAAATGCAATCATTTCGTACAGCAGATTTAGCATTATTCCTTTCGCTCATACACAAAAAACCAAAAAGTCTTCAAGAAAATATATTTTCACTAAAACTACCTTCTGCAGTAGTGGACCTTCTTTTCGTTCAATTCTCGATGGGTAGTCCGAATTTGAAGTTCAGCAGTGCCAGTGAGGGTAAAGGAAGAGACCGCCTTTTAATGTTTTGCAGTCCGTAGAAATAAAAAATATCCTACATTATACAAAGAAATGCCCACAAAATTTCTTTACACTTCCTTCCTTGAAGAAATGAACGACGTGGTAATTTATTTCTTGCAATGAATTGGAGGGTAGGACCGAAATGGACACAAATTATTTTATAGTGACGAACAACTGATTTCTTTCGCGATCTTCTCACTGGAATCTCGTTAAAATAATTTTCCCAGCATCTGGAAGCATTTTTAATATGTTTGTTTCTACATTTTCATCTCGTTTGCCTTCGTGAGGAATGGAACTGACGCAAGTGTTGGACGCTGTACACTGTACAAGTGTTACAAAGATTTTTTTGGTGGTGAAATGCTTGGGAAGTCTTAGCATCAGCTTCTATAGTTAAAGAAAAATTTTACTAACAAAAACTATCTTTCCTCACGTTTGCAATTTTACAGACACTAATTCTTATTTTGATAACCTGGATTTTGTATATAAGGATACTCTTCTTTGCTGGCGGAGACCTACACTATACATCAATTCTGCGAAAGAAGGGGAAAAAATACTCACAATTCCAAATGTGCCGGTAGAGGGGAGCCGAAAACAGACACAAGGCAAAAACTAAAGGCGATTAGCATAATGAGCTCCATTTTGCACAACAATCTAAATAATCAGAGGATTCAGTACAGTCTCACTTCGATAACATTAATTATTAAAAAGTGTTCTTTTGACGAAAATAAATGATGCAAAAAGTTGAATTGTACAAGCCGAATCCACGGCAGATGACTGAAAAACCTCAGCTACTTGTGAATGACAGTAAAGCGTATTAAGACATGCGATTTCTTATCTTAAGAACGGATTATATTTATTTACTGATATTTTTTCCGCGGTCTCACTTGAAAGCTTCAGCCCTACTACCGGAATTTCGTCGAACTATCCTATCGATTCCTAAGAGCCTAACTTATTGATAATATAATTTTATGAAAAACGGATGATCCATCCGGTATTGTATTTTCCACGTGGATACTGAAAAGGAAACTTTTGTAAGACTTTATATCTTTTTTTACGTCTTGTTTTCTCCTGTAGCACGGCATTTTTGTTTGTCATTAGGTATAATGAAGAAACGACATCTTTTGTGGCTCATAGTTCAAAACGTGATCAAATATAAGCAACAATTTAACCGCTCACTAACACACCGAAAGAGATAGAGATTAAAATTAAAATATTGCTAAAAAATTTGAAATGTAGCAATTTTTTTCTAAAAAAAAAAAAGTACGCGCTTTTACAGCGGAATATTTGTAAAGGTGATGAAATACCAGCCTCCACTTGAATAGACAGCAATGATAAACCTTCATTATTCAGATACCACTATTGATGCTCTCCGGAGCTCGTTTTGCCTATGTTGTTAGATGAAGGCGAATCTATTTTGACAAATCCACTGCAGTCCCTGCTCGGAAACGGTCACTTTATTGGGTAAGATCTATGCATTAATGCAAAGTGCACGATATAAAAGATCAAAATATCAAGTAAAGGACGGTGGAATCATCGTAAATCTCTATATTCAACTCGGAAAAGAGATAGTAACGCTTTCTGACCTCGAGGCTTCTAATTAATAACCTTTTCGTTTGCCGAAACGATTCCGTTTCTTCTAGAGTAAGGTCCCATGGAGGCATTTGAACCAAAAAATGGAGAATCGTTGTTTTAGTTTTTGACAAAAATAGCACACGATTGACCTTAAACCTATGTGAGTATGCACGTCGTAATAATACACTTAAGTAAAGGTCCCGCTGTGACATGCAAACAAAACCACATTTTAGGTCATTTTGTACTTTCAAGTGCTCATTACTCCCGTCATTTTTTGGTCCAAGGAGCTCCATGCAGCTCAAGATGAAGGAGCCAATCAAAAGCGGCGACCTCAACCCCTTATGACGATAAGTTACGGTCTATTAAGTCACCAATTTCTTCCACCCTCAATTTTTCCACATCTTTTTTCCGGCCCAACTTTTCGTCGCAGATGACATAGTGCCCTCGTGAAGTGCTACGTTGCCGTCGACTGTGCAGTTTGTGGCGTTTCACGCAATTTTTTAATATATTTTCCTGAGCTTTGCAAACTGGCAATGCTGTTTGTACTTGTCCTGTGCTTGGCTGCATTCATCGCCCCACCCTGTCTCTCTGGACGGAAGTCTTTTGATTCGAGTCGATTTGAAAGACCGCACCGCGCCTCTTTCGAAAGTGGTGTCTAGCGTGGGCATAGCTGTCTAAGTGAACAAATCAACAACAAAACTATGCTGTTCTGAGCAAGGGAAGATTCAACACCAAAAGTCACACTTTTTACCGAAGATACCTGCTTTCAAATGATGATTCATTTATATTCTACAAGCACTCTCAGAATAAAAAGTTTCCTTGCGCAAAATGGGATGAATCTGCATCCTTATAAAAACGTTCGTCATTTTGTCTGTTCCCTGCATATCACACTCAACAAGTTCAGATCTTCGCGTCTGCCTTTTTGACATAAATTGGATACCGTTATTGACCAGAATTAGCTTAACTAACACACAGACTAAAAGCTGACGTTGCCCAGTTATCTCTTTTGTTTTACTTTTTAATGAGGAAACTGAGAAACACTTCTTCTCCAATATTTAGCGAGCGTACATTTGTTACTTTAAAGGAGACTTTTATAAAAATTCAAGGCTTTAAGTTTCTCAGTTTATTATGTAAAGTAGTAAAACATTTGAAGAAATTGGGAAACATACGATGCACATACACTCTTACAGTCGTAGCTACAGTATTGCTGAAATTCCCTTAATCCCCAATTCACTCCTCCCCCCTCCACCATTGGAAATTTCCCATTTTACTGAATATTTGTAAAAAAGCTCAGATTTATCGATCTAAACCACGTGGATGTCTGCAGGGCTTACTGTTTATGTAAACATGAGCGTATAACATTGAAACCAAATGCAGAAAATTTACTCTAACAACATTGCAAGTCCCTCGCAGAATCAATACAAAATAAGGAAATCATTTGCATTGCTTAACTCACAACCTTGGTAAGGAAACAGCGATACCCATGAAAAGGGGTCCAATATAATTTTATTGCACACTCTGACAACCCAGCGTCCGCGGTCGAGGTGCTGATCGAGGTACATCGGTGAGGACAACAAAATCGAGTCTAGACTAAACGGAGACTGAGGGCAAGAACTAGAGCGACTGAATGGAATTTCGTGTTCTTACAATCAGCGTAGGTTCGGCGCCGCTTTTCAATTGGACGTATTCCTGCCAAACAGAACTACGTGCATTAAGACGTGAGCCCTGTTATGCATATATTCTTATGAGTCTCAGGGCTCATGTCTCAGTGCACATAGTTCTGTTTGGCAGAAATACGCTCAATTTGCCGCTACTCATCTTGACTCTTGAGCCAAAGATGAAGGCACATCCATTTATCGGTCCCCGATAGGTCAATCTTGGAAGAGGCTCAAAAGTTTAACAGAGCCTTACCTTGATCTTAGATGTGGTGCAGATGCTAGGGTACCTAACGTGGATATCGGTAATCAGACCTATTGTTTTTAGACAAAAGGATCGGTTGATCGTGCGCCAGGAAACGTTTTTACCCCTGATAAAGAACGGACAACGGATTAATCACTGATTATGAACCAAGCATTCAAGTTTTCAGCTGACGTGGATCAGTGGCGATTCTCGGAAGTTGGCAACACCGTTTTTCCTCTATTTAAGTGTATGCAAAATAATCGATTCTTTATGAAGCGGCTTGCCTCACCTGATATCGATATTTTAAAGGGGTTTAAATTGAGGAAATTCAGTGTTGCCAACTTGCAAAATCTGCCGATCCTTAAATTCTAGTATCAAACCAAGATGGCGGAGAATGCTCATAAAAGAGCGTTTTTCTGCAAAAATGAGTGAGTTTATGCAAAAAGTCAAATACAAGCTTTACAAACGACGAGTTGTTTCAATTGTAGAAATAAATCACTCTGGCTAATTTGAGTACGTACGTTAGCTTCAGTGGCGTGCTTCGCGATCAATCGATATTTCCCCATTTAGAGCTGTGATAAATAATTGATTTTTAAGATGCTCGCTGTGAACATCCTATTTATCGATACTTTCCTATGGATTTAAATGACCGATAAATCGATACATCGCTAAGCACGCCACGCCATTGGTTGGCTGGTGCTTTTTTGGGCCCTTAAAGCTCCTTGCTTAACCTCAAAATTACCGACATGTCCTTACTCATCCACTCAATTTCTCGGTATAGATTTTTGGCCAAATGCGAAAAAACTAAGTGAAAACTTCAAATGGACGATATTCACCAAAAATATGGGAGATTTTAAATTGTTTCCTACGTGAGATGCAGGGCCGGATTTACCTACTTGCCGACCATGGGCCGCCTGCATTTTGCCGCCCCCCTCTCATTCGATTTGAAACATCAATAAAAACCATCAAGTGAACGAGTCGGAGGGAGAGGGGTGCATAAGACGCGTTTATTCGTGTTATAGACACATTTTTTGCGAGAGCCCTGTCAACACTACAAGCTAGAGTTCACGAAACTTGGCGCAAAAGTTAAGCTCCGTAAACCTATCTCTGTGTGGACAGGGCCTTCCATTTATAAGAAATGATCGAAAAAATTATGAAAGAACAAACATAAATGTGGTTTAATAATTTTAACTTCCACCGCCGCGCCGCGCTGATCGCACTGTGTTTAGCGCAATGCGTGAAGTATTCACGCAGTCTTGTAGGCGCTATGCGTTACACGTCGACCGCCGCTGACCGCGTTGTGTTTAGCGCAATGCGTGAAGTATTCACGCAGTCTTGTAGGCGCTATGCGTTACACGTCGACCGCCGCTAACCGCGTTGTGTTTGACGCTATGCGTGAAGTATTTATGGAGTCTTGTAGGCGCTAATATGTGTTACATGTCGAACGCCGCGCCGCCGAGGGCGAGGGCTTCCCCTTTTCATCTCAAGTCCTCGTCATCATTGCTCTCTACGTCGCGCCGCTCCAGGCCAAATTGCGTGTTTGGTTTCTCTCATAACTCGACTAATTAAAGGTGCTGACTCGTGTATCACCGCAAAACGACAAAATTAGAAATTACTATCCTCTCAGGAAATGAAAGATTTGGTCGTCTTTTCTCTTTTGTAATTTTTTTTATACCTACATCTGAAAAAAATTGCAAAATTTACCGCCATGGACCGCGGCCCACGTGGCCACCCAATAAATCCGGCCCCGGTGAGACGCTGTGGCCGACTACTCTGGTCTTTTTGATCTCTCGTCCCTCTGCAACCCGTCATTTTTCCGACTAAGTAACATAATTCCATTCCAGGGTTGCAAAATTGACTCAAAAGTTTCAAATTTCTACACAAATGTGCCTGAGCAATTTTTGTTGAAAAATTGTTCAATTTTTGCCCGAGATCAGACGAAAAATCAGTGAAACTTTCGGTTAGAAATTCCTAAAATTCTCCTGGTAAAAGTGCAATCTCTGCGGAGAAATTTGGCAACATTGAAATGTAGTTACGTTCTTTCGTGAGAGAGATGACGAACTGTCGGATAATAATCGCACCCGCTCAAAAAAAGGCGTCATTAATCATCTACGGTGCGGGCTGTCGTGTACAATTCCAAACTCAGTAAACCTTTCGTGAGCGTTCTGTCATTGCCTGCATAGAGAGGTTAACGCGGGTTAATTTGTTTGGGGCGAACACTGACACTGTTCAGTAAAATCGTGACTCGTCAACTTTCAACGACATTGCATTGCCGTCGCGACGCTTTGACGTATCAATGATCTAACGTCTAGGGGTATGATGATATCCAAAAGAGATTATTTGACTGTTCAGATATTTCAAAGCAGTTTTATAAAAAAAAAAAAAAATCACGCCACAGTGATCACATCATTCTGTACTGATACGAGCATCAACTTATTTTGAACGGATGGATGTACAGCATCAACATTTTGAAATTCGTCGAGTTTGACTGATCATTGATCGATAGCTTATGGTTTAAGTGCAAAAGGGACATTTTTACTCTTCGGTTTCTATGTTCTAGAATATCCTTCGATAAAATAAATGTGTTTCAAGGTGTAAAAATGCTTCAGGGAAAATAAAAATTTTACTTGATTTGCTTAAAATGGTTTTGATACCACCAAAAAAAATTGAAGCAAACTAATTTACCGGTTTTTTTCTTCTTTTCTTTCAAAAAAATAAAATGTTTTGATGGAGGCATCGAAATTTTATTAAGGTTTGATGTCCGTCCTCCATTTATCAAGCCTTTTATATAAGTTATCCCCAATTTAAGTTAGATTTGTTCCGATCAGTTTTAATGCTGAGTAGGACATGATTTTATATGATGAAAACTTAAGTGTCATAGTCTATAATTTGTTTCTCCTTCCACTTAGATTGTAATTTGTTATCATTTGTTCTCTAAAATCACTTTTCTTTCCCCTTCCATTCCAGCAACGTGCTACTTTAGTTGGTGACTATTTGTCCTGATTTTGAGGAGAAATAGTGTAAGGTTCGTTTGGTGACCCATTATTGCCACGAATATTCGTGATGAAGCACTTCGATCGATGCGCGAACTGAAGCACGGAATATATAGGCTCTGAAGTCTTCTCCACAGCGTTTTCAATTGGATAACTAGATTAGATAGTGGGAGGTGGGACAGACCCATGGGGCCTGGCCCCTCGCCGTCCATTGTCCCTTCCCGCAATTTGGAATGAGGACATGGAGCTCAAAAGCCCGGGTGTGGGCCTCGTAGTAGTACCGAGAGAAACACCGTATGAACATTCGAACGTTGCCAAATTTCCCCTTACAAACTAATGATTTTCGGGAAAAGTTATGAATATTTTTCTTTGAAATTTTCAGACGTTTTAGGGTAAATTGTAAAAAATATACAAAATCAATATACACAGGGTGGTCCACAGTGCAACCGCCAGACCGCAGGAGTGTATTATGAGGGTCAAAATAGGGCTTATATGTAGTATGAATTTTTTTCCAAAAATTATTTTCAATGGAGCTACAGCCTCCCCCCCTCCAAGTCCTGGGAGATAAATCGTTTTTCCTGCACGTTGGCAACGGGAAGACACTAAATCTCATGAAAATTGCCATGAACTCATAATTCGGCACGATGAATTCATTTGTGAAGATTGAAATCTTAGTTAAAGTCCCATGAATGCGGAACTTCTATTTCTGGCTTGATCATAAAGTCACCTATCTGCCCAGGAAAAATCAAAGAGGAAGAGGGAAAGTAAGTGGAAGGAGCAGGATAGAAAGAAGAAGAAGGAGAAGAAAAGATACGGGAAGGAAAAGAGGAATTAAGAGCGGACCAAGAGGAAGATGAAAAGGAAGAGAGGGAACAAAGTAAAGAAGAGAGAGAAAAATTGAGTGAAAAGAAGAGGAGGAGAAGGGAGGAGGGTCCAAAATGCACGTGACATTTTTTGTATAATATACCGTCTTTTCTGTTAATTTATTGTATCGGGAAGGGTAAAAGCACAGGTGACACGTATAAACGAGATCGAGGATTCTGATACTGATTCAAACTCTGTAGAGCGCATATTGCATATCCTCTCAAATGAAGGAAAATTGCATGCAAGAAGCTGGACCACAAGCAAAATTTTCCAGGGAAATATTGACAGCATTTCATTCACCACAAACAAGGACTGTAGAGAATTGGAATCATCACTATTAGATTGTTAATTTTTACTTCAAATACGATTTCCTTTTCTGACTCTATGATGTTTAAAACTCTCCTCCTCCTCATAGAATAGGCTTCATTTAAATTACGGATAACGTTAAGTACGATAGTGAATCTTAATCCATCATCTGATTTATAAATTCCACGTTCAAATCGCAAGTTTGCATTTGCGTTATGTCTAGTGCACTTCTACCAATTTGCGGCTCAGGTGAACGAACTAAGAAAGTGTATAATTAACATTCCGATAGAATCTTAGCCTTTTTATAAAATATCATTACGCTTAGGGAAATTTTCAAATGCAGAGTCCATCTTTTGGAAAGCATCTCAGTTAGGTATCATCGCGTTACAGATCCATGCGATAGAAGCGTGAAAATATTTGAGCGAAATAGACGTCACGATCGAGGAATTGCACCCGTGCCTTATCGCGGCAGCCGTGGGCAGATCTCAGATTTCGCCCGCAAAATCGAGCATATGCAACCCGGCCCTCCGCGGAGTTAATATAGTTGCATGTTAGGTTCGAACCCAACTCCGAGTATTCTTCCATTGGTTTACACTCCGCGCATTATTCAAATGTCAAGTTAAGCTTTCGGGAAGGCTTCTCGGTTAACTTTCATCTCATTATTTTGTTTGTAATATTTTTTCTTTCTTAATTGTTATGCGGGATATTCTCGGATGATTCAAATTCCAAAGGGGGTAATTGATGACAAATCCGTAAAAATTTGACGTAATTAATTTTAAACTGAAACTCGTGTTACGCGAATTAAGTTTTTGATGAAGAGAAAGACTAGGATCGCTTCACTTGGACATTGCGAGAGCTTAATATATTAGACCCTTTGCGGAAAATGTAGTCCAATCCAAAATTGTGCAATCCTCTTCTCACAAGCATGCAATTGTGCTTTCAATTTTATTGCTGCATTGCATTTCTTTAAACTTTCTCGAGCTTTTAGGGCCCAAAATGGCAGCCAATCTAGGAATTCATATTAAAATTATTACGACCTGCCGTTTGTGAAGCGCGTGATTTGACTAAGGTTTTGCATAAATGTTCTCATTTTACGGAAGAATACTCATTTATATGGACATTCTTGGACATCTTGGTTTAATAATGGAATCTGAAGTTTGGCAGTGACATTTTTCATGTCAGAAGGTTGACTACCCTTTTGGGCCCTTTAAGAGCTCCATATTTCGATACGTCCGCACTCTCATATAGGCACTCTAATTCTCATTCGGCTGGCAATGACACAAATCTCAGGGGGTGAGCCGCGGAGCAACATAGGGGACAGACCCCCTTGTAGAAGAAAGTCTTTATTTTGACCCACAGAGCACGCTCCTCCAGTCTGCCGGTTTAACCTTAGCATGCCTTAGCCCACCCTGTTTCCGCACAACATCGCAAGAAAAATCGTTTATCCAGCCGAAATTTGGCATCAACCGTATGTTCATACAGCCTTTTTCCCATTCTGCCGTGCTAAGAAAGAACGCCGTATGAACATTCGATGGTTGCCGAATTCCCTTCGATAAAATGTTTATTTCTTAGGGAAGTTATGAATATTTTTCCTTGAAATTTTCAGGAACTTTAGGTGAAATTACGAGCAAAATTATCTGAGAAATTGGAAGGAAAATATTCATCAGTTCACCGAGAAATTCGTGTTTTATCGACGGAAATTTGGCAACGCCTGAAGGTTCATACGGTGTATTTCCTTGGCACGGCAGTATTGTGACCCACAGAACACGCTCTTGCAGTCTGGCGGTTTAACCTTACAATTAGCCCAACCTGTCTCCGCACAACATAGGAAGTAAAATCGTTTTTCCAGCCGAAATATGGCATCAACGGAACGTTCATACGGCCTTTTTCCCATCGAGGGCCTGATCCGGGACCAACCAGCTGCCGAACCGAACGTCGCTTATCCGCGCTGTGGCCTCTTCGTCGCGGCCGCGGCCTAAAACCCGTTCTGGGTTCTGCAGGTAAATAAGGCCCTTGTTCCGTGGCCCCTTCGCGCAACAGCTGAGAGTCTTATTAATGAAACGGGCCGTAGTCCGTAGTCCGTAGTGGGAGGGAGCCAGCCATAGTCGCAGCCGGCTCCGTTCCGATTCGAACGTGGCCGAAGGAGGAATTTGTTGGCTCCCGCTCTGTGCCCCGCGCATGCGCAACACGCTCGCAACAATCGCGCCGTTGAATCCGGCTCCGTCGGTGTGCTATGCGTTTAGTGTAGTGAGGCGCCAAGCGGCCATGTGACTCCGTCTTCGAGAGCGTGAGAGCTTTGCCGTGTTGTTCGAGTGTAAACAAGGCGTGATTCCGTCGCGGGTTCGGTTTATCCGGTGTCGTTGGGAATCACGAAATCGTCTGAAATATCCGCGGCTTTCGACTGGTTCGAGTCGTGCACATGTTCGTACATTTCAAAGTCGCAAAATCGCATTTTGGTCACATTTTGTTGGAGTGTTTACTTTTTTTAAAAACTTAGAGGCTTTTCTTGTGTTTTATTGTTTTTCTTTTTATAAACAAGAAAAATTAAATTTTTACTGCGAAACGAGTGCGTTTATTGAATCTATTCGTAAATCGTAGCAACGATGGAATAAGTTATTATAAACCTATGTTACATATTTCCAAAGTTCTGCATTCACGCATTGTTCCGATTTCAGTCGATTTGTGAGCGTAAGATTTTTCAGACTGAAACGGTGACTGTAAATTGAAAGAAAGAAACCGTGTTGTAAAACGTTGTGAAGAGATACATCTTATCACCCACGGCATCGCTGTTATTGGTTTTCATCACTTGCGACGTGTCTCTACCATTGGATGTATCGGCCCATTAAAAGGATTACCTCAGTTCCCGATTTTTCGCGCCAACAGCGACGGTCGAAGCTCAACTGCAACTGCAAATTTTATGGAGTGATGCCAACATCTTTGTTTAATCAGGTGCGTTGCGTTGCATATGAATTTTTGCACGAAATCCGTAGCAATGTATCAATTTACCAACTAGATTTTAAGAAGATTTGGAATGATAATCATACTGACTTTGATGCACGAAAAAACGTAACTATAGGATGTTGATGATGACGCGCGGAAGCTTAGAATTAACATCCTCTGCACGTTGTCTTTATTTTACGAGTATTGTGCAGGTGCGGGGGGGGGGGCGGCTTTATCAATAGAGGCCCTTCAAAGGGGCCCCATTGTGGAGATCTCAGACGGCCCCCATTCCAATGAGGCGTCCCCTTGGGATTTGTGGGCTCTTTCGAAACGTATACCCTACTCATCCCCGGGTGTAGATTCATAGCATTGACAACTTGACAGCCTCCAGGAATAAGTAATTGGAAATTTTCCTGCAAAAAAATCATTGGATCACGGTAATCATTTGCACTAATGAAACGTCCGCACGGTTTCCTTTCCATTCTCCGTTGGAATTATTTTTATAAGGTTTTTCAGGTTTTTTGTCCTATTTGAATACTGCGTCAGAAGTTTTACCCCAACTAACGTTTCTCAAGAGTATAATTTTTTAAAAAAAAGATTACCTTGTATGCTGTCGTGCTAAGGAAAAAACGCCGTATGAACCCTCAGGCGTCGAAAAATTTCTTTTGATAAATCACGGATTCCCGTGAAAACTTGTTCATATTAATCTTTCAATTTTTCAGATAATTTTGTTTGCAGTTACACTTTTAGATCCTGAAAATTTCAGGAAAAATATGCATGAACTTCCTTAAAAATATACGTTTTATCGGAGGAAATTGGGCAACTTATCTAATGCTCACGCAACGTTTTTCTTTAGCACGGCAGTATGTACGTTTAGAACGATCGAATATACGATTTTCAATGCCTCGGACCAACATGTTGTTGTATTTACAGTAAAACAGCCTAATTGGATGATCCTACACGAAGAACCGTTTTTTCTGGCACCTGGCCACCCCTAGGTACTTTCGTTGGCGCCTCAGTTGCCAGTGTTGAATCAACACACCAAAACTGTTTTGTTGAGGAAATAGACCCATTCATTGTATTGGCGTCATCTGCAGCTCACAGGTAGTTCAATCACTGAAGATGGGGAAATCCCTACGCGGTCTTTCCATTGAAATCGAATGAGTCAAAACTCGTCAATCTTCCGTATTCCTTGATATGGATTCATTTAACTGGAGGGCATAAAACGATGACTACAATAGGGCCTCGACTATTCACTTTGATACGGGATCGGTGGTTTCGGAAATGATAAAAAACAGCCGATACTCCGAACTCACGACGCGAAATTGTTGGTGGAACAATGCTGATCTGTTACCGGCACCGCAAGAATTGTTATTGCAATCATAAAATTCTAATAACTGAAACTAGAATTTCAGATTGGGCCCGAGAAGAATTTCAGAAGTAAGAAATAAGATTCCTTTATTTCCGCAAAGTTTGCTGTATCTTTGGACATTTTTCGCGCCGAAGTGTTCCTAAAACGTTCCTCCAAGAAAAAGCACCGCGGTGTCTTATTTTCGGCACCATACTGGGTGCCCAAAAGGCAACCCCCCCCCTTAGAGAGGGGCACATGTACAGCCCCTGAAATTTGGAACCAAAAAACGTTTTAAGGGGGCTTTTGGGGGAGAGGCTGTAACTTTAAAAGGACGATTTATTGGAGAAACGTTATAGAGCGAAAAAAGACCTATCCTGATCCATAAAATAAATTCTGAGAATACTGGCGTTAAATTTAGGAGTACCCTGTATGATCCCTCCTCCAGTGGACAGTCATGCTTAATTGGATCACATTTTGCAAGGAGGAACCGATATTTCCGGCCCATTTTAGAAGCAACATACATGCCATTGGTTTCCCTGTGCAGATGTGTGCTTTTATGGGAGAACCATAGACTGTGATTCCTTATTGCAAAATGTAATCCAAGTGATCCACGGCTTTTGAGGAATCTGAGTCAGTCAAATGAAGACGTGGGGGAGCTCTGAGTAGAATCAATGCCGGCGAGAAACCGCACACGAAATGTTAATATCACACCAATTTTTGGCACATCAGTATGACCACAAATGCATGTGCCGAAGTTTTGGCAGCCGGCACAAGCGAGCAAGCGAGCAGGTATCTTTGCTGTGCTGAGGAAAAAGGCCGTATGAATGAACAATGGGATGCTGCCAAATTACATGCCAATAAAAGCCGAATTTTCTCGCGAAGTAATGTACAATGGAGTTCTCGTATATGTCAGGGATTTGTGATTCAAGTAATTACTCTATGTAAAATTTCACGATAAACACGATAGTGCCACTAGTTTTCTCTGTAACACACTATCCTGAGCTCAAAAAAGCTCTCAAAGTTCAGGTCGAATCGGATGGAATATTCTTCGCTACCCCGAGAGCTCACTTCCATATTCAGTCAAACTCTCCCTGCACAGATAAAATTTGGCCGATTGTAAGACCTCTGGTCAGGTGCTTGTTGAAGTGGTGGTTTGAGCTGCGACCAGAGCTTGGCCAGAGGTAGGTGTTTATGACTCCCGGTTTTCTTCAGATCAAGTCCCGGTCAGCCTTTGTTCTCTCTCGCAAATCAGTAGTTAGGCTGATCAGCAGATTGAGTGCTGGTCAGAGTACTACACTGGTTTGGTAACCAGAGAGGTTGACAAAAGATCTTACAAACGGCCCGCAATTTAACCAGATGTAGAGATGGACTCTTCATCAAGGTATAGCGTGGGATATCCCTCCATTACGGCCTCAACTTTGAGAGCTTCTTTGAGTTTGGGAATCAATTTTGAGAAAACTAGTTGCACCATCGTGTTCCTCGCGAAATTGTACAGTATATATTAGTCCAGGTAATAGAGGATAGAATAGGGGTTTACCTTGCAAAATTTAGGTGAAATCAGGTCATGGTTGATTCCTATGTATTTTTCACGCTGAATTTGATTTTTGGTTTCCCAACAAATTTTCCTCGTGCTTACTTCGGAATATCGTAAAAACCGCGAAAAATCACGTTTTTCTGCGGTTTAGTAGTTATTTCCAAAAAATAACCAATAGTATTTCAATCTCAAATACCTGGCGCATGCAAGAGCTTCATTATAGTTGATATCAACGAAGTATCATATTCAAAATTTTCTGTAAAATGTCTGAAAATGGAAAAAAACATTCACCTTTTTCCCTATGAATAAATCTTGTTTCCAAGGAAATTTGGCGATGCCCGATTGTGCATACGGCGTTTCTCCTCAGTGCATTAGAATTTCAGCTTGGGATTTCGTAGCGTTAACGACGTCAATAATTACAGCCGGGGGATCCTATTCAAACGATGATCGGCGGTTGCGTCAAACTGAAGCCGGCTCAAATACGATGGCATCGAATAGTTCAATAACTCTGGGAGGTCTGTGGCACACGGCCATCGCGTAATGTTTGCATAATCCATTCGCAGCGCCACGCTCGCCATCGGCCACCGTCAAAGAGAAACATTCAAAGCCCGCTTTTGAAAAAGCTCAAACGATTGAAGACTTGGGAGCTTTCGCTCTCGTTGACCTCACACTGAAAAGAAAAACTCGGTGTATTTACTAAGAAAAGGGTAAAATTACCAAGAATTCGGGGTTCTATTTGATCACAGTTTTTTCTTGGTAAAATTACCATTTATGGAATTGGTAATTTTACCGAAAATCTCGGTAAAATTGTTGCCTTTCTCGGTGATTTCACTGGACCCCGGTAAAAACGCCAATATTTTTTATCGACTGTGGTAGAATTACCGAGAGAAATGGCAAAGTTACCGGGAATTGACTACCAATAAAAGTGGTATTCTTACATGAAACAAACAGTAAAAGTACCGGTTTTTAGGTATGCTTACCAGTCTATCTTGGTAAAATTACCAATAATTGGTAAAAAAAAGTAAGATGGTAAAGGTACCAACGGACCTTGGTAAAAACGCCGAGAATTTTTTTTCAGTGCGGTAACTTACACTGCTAGCGAGTTTTTTTTCCTTTTGCATGGGCCTTTTTTTTAAGGAGAACTAGTTCATTTTCTCTTGAGGCTGAGGTGTAATCTGCCGTGTTAAGGAAAAACGCCGTATGAACCTCCAGAAGTTGCCAAATTTCCCTCAATAAAACACGAGTTTCCTGGTGAAATTATGGCTATTTTCCTTCCAATTTTCCAGATAATTTCGGTCGGAATGTCACCTAAAGCCCCTGAAAAATTCAAGGAAAAATATTCATACCTTCCTTCAGAAATAAACATTTTATTGGAGGAAATTTGGCAACTCTCGAATGCTCATACGGCGTTCTTCCTTAACACGGCAGAATAGGGTGAGAAGTGAGTACGGCATTTATCTTTATTTATAGGATGTTGAACAGCACGGAGCAAAGTAAACCTAATAGACTGCTCTTAGTAAAATTTGGAATAAAAGAGGTTTGCAGTCGTAGAGCTTCGACCATAAAGTTTTTCAAGCCAAGCTTCACCAGGTGCTGTACATGAAGCAATGAATTTAACTTCTGTAGAGGATGGAGCTACTGTTGCTTGTTTATAGGTCGCCCATGAATTGCAGCTTTCAAGATGAAAAAATACAAAGCAAACAAACAAACAAACAAACAAATCCGGAAATTGAATGCCAACTTACTTTACCATTGGGCAAATCGAAATCAGCATAATAACTAGTTTGGGATATTTCATCAGAATATTTAAATTAATGCATAATGTGCTAAGTGCTTTTAATATTTCAATACGCGAGTCAAATAGCTCCTTGATGCAAAGTAAAGCCCGCCTGTACATGCATAACCCTTCTGGAACTACAAAAGTGCAATATTAGGACGAAGAACGTGCCAAACTTGGAAGTCGAGCGTGCTTCGTACAGGGCTCTCCGCTCCTCCACGCACGAGAGTACAATGGTGCGCTCCACAGGGCGTTCGCGTTCGGGTACTTCCGTAGCGTACGGTTTTTAAAAACGTGTCAAGACGATCCGCTTTGTGAATGAACGGTGCGCATAAATTTATGCTACT